TGTTGATGACACAGCCGCCTTGGCTAAACAGTCATAATTTTTTCTTCATTAAATATCTTCGACTCTTTGAATGGCTTATGAAATTATTTTTTCTTTATTATTTTGTTCGTTGTGTTTGCTCTCCCTCTTCACGCCTGGGTCAATACCCCGTGCGCGTATATCAATAAATTAGCTTTGCTGCGTACGATTCAGCGCGGCCCCGTGTAATTCAGATCCACTTAGCTCAGCTGTAAGTTGACAGCGCAGTCAGGCGCATAATCCACCAGCAATCAAGTTAAGGCGACTTTAAATCTCTATTGATGGACGATAAGTGTTTTTGATATCTACGAATACAGTTATTATATGTACATATGTATATCATTGTACAAAGAGATGAAAAATAAATGTGTTTCTAAACTTTTCGAGGCTTTAGTATTTAGAGCTGAATATATGTATGTAGTCCACAAAATACGATGAGTACTTATAAGATAAGATTGGTCTTTTATATAAGAATTGATAATGAGGGCTTATTATAATATTTAATTTTCCTTATGCCAAACTCGTGCTAAATCTTTCTCTAACGGATTTTCTTAAACAAACATTCCATAATTTCATCCTCTAAATAAACTAGAGGTTGCTAAGCACAAGTTTGGCCGCTAAGTGAAAGATAGCAATCGTTTGGGTCTAGCTACATCTACATTCGATAAATTCTTTCCCACGATCGTTGGATGAATTATAACTCAAATTATATGCCTCCAACTAAACTTGAGTTTATTAGTCTCTGGTTTTGTGGAGCTTCATAAGATATTCATTAGTTTTACATTCAATTTAAAGTTGCATCATTTTGTTCAATAACTTGTTGTCATCTTTCATAATTCCATCCTAAAAGAAACCGTCGTCCCTATTGGAAAAAAACTGGAACAGGCGATCTTGGTAAGCTTCTCTTTAGGTGAATTTTTTACAAGCATGCTTATTCGCCATAGACAGGAACCGGCAATAATCCCTTGATGTCAAAATTATAAGGTGGATGCATAAAAACGTTTCGAACAAACTTCAGGCTAATCGCTGTACTTGTAGATGTAAGTGCGCTGCCTTGAGGGAACTCAATTCCTCTCCTATTGGCCAAAGCTGATCGCTTTTGGACGATTGCTCATTGTAGAGGTCTGATTGTTGAAAGTGCAGGTTTACTGTAGAAGAGCAGCTCATAATAAATTATGCATTACAAATCCCACCAAGCACTTAGCAAAATCTTCCGGACCGTCAATGCTTACCTTAGCACTGTTTGCGCCAACTCATCGCCTTTTTATCAAGACCGTTTTCTCTTGTTCTTGTCGTAAGTGACCCAATTTTGCAGTGACCATACGCTTAATAATTGGAGCAATTTTGTAGCGGTTCAGGAGCGATTCGCAGACGGAAGTTGGAAGCCTCCACAGTCGAATTTTGATTTGTTTTTTTGTTTTTTTTTTTTGGTATTTTAAAAATTCATTCCGTCGCACCTATCATACATCACAAGTCAGATCATTTCGTTGGCTGTCTTGACGACATTTGATGCCTCCATCGGCTTATTGGAATTGATTTCATTACTATAAATCCATGTTCAATTGAGTGTAAAAGTCAACAAAATGCGGCGTAGACTTGCGGGGTCACACGAAAAAAGGAATGCTCAACATAGTTTATGCTACTCATTCCCATAAACTACGAAGGAAATTTCGATTTCCAGTGAAAATTCTCATTTACGAAACACCGCGGCAAACGCGAAGAAGGGTAAATATTCAAATTATGCCGCTTAAATGTTACTTGAAAATAAGGTATGGACGGCACAGGTAGCTGCATGGCACTGAGAAAGCCCGCAAATCACAACCAACAACAACGCTGAGAAATTGGAAACTGTCACCAAATCAGCAAATAAATAATACGAGCCTACAACCGAACTCGGAGGGAAGGGTTAGCATGATAGCAACCTCAAATCGTTTGCGATGACAAAGCCAATTGTAGCTGACAAAGTGCTCGACATACAAACACTTGTAGAACTCGAGCGGATACAAACCTAAAGCCAACGTCTGTCCACGCTCCCAGCATGGGAAGCGCTGCAACTGCACCACTGCCTCCACTTTTCAAATGTATTTTTGTTTTTGCTTTCGGCAGTTTGGGATTAATTTCTGTTATAATTTATTTAATAGACCTTCAAATCCGTTTATCCGTTGTTGGAGAGAATTTATTGCGGTTACTTGTGAGATTCTTGAAATGACCATTCTTCAGCAACAACTGTGCTCCACAAGAATTGGTGGTGAAGAATTTGTTCGTGTCTCCCATTTCGTTGTTGCTGTATTCGCTGTTTGGTGATCTCATAGTTTTCACTTTCTCGTGATTTTTGAGTTATGTGCCTGTAATTATCAGAAATTTTTATCATTTTCATTCACTTCTTCCTTATACTGAAACTATACATGCGTATGATTGCCTAAAACTGTTATAGTTATTACTAGTACTACTTTGGTTGTATTTACAGTTGTGTTTTGTTTTAAATATAATTAGGGATTCATAGGTTGTAGTATTATCCTAGAGTTCTCGCTTAGCAAGGACTTTACATATTAAGTAAAAAACGATCATAACGAAAATGATAGATGGTTTAAGTGTTTACTGGTTTCAGAGTAAGGCAGAAGTGAACAAAGTTGAGCGGTTGCAGATTGTCTTGGAACCACCACGGTTTCCATATAAATTGTGTTCATTGCTGACGAATTCATTTATTAATTTGAATTTTTATGAGATTGACGCTATGCTTCCAGTAACCTCACAGTTAATCTACACAAATTCATAAATAAAATCCTCTGTGGACTTGACACCGAAAAATTCATAGCGCTCGAGGCACATACTGTGCGAAATTTTTGCAGAGGTTATAGCGCTCTAAAAGGTTCTTAAAATAGTTTCTGAAAAATGCAACTAGTTAAACTATTCTTGGTCTAATATAAATTCTGATCGGTTACAACTACGTTCTAAGGATTTTTACAAATTTAATCAGAACTGAGCAACACCTCAAACTCGATTGCACCGACTCGGACACATTGTTAATATGGATTCAGGGTATTTAGCTGCAGAAGTTTTACAAAGTGGTAATAATTTCGAATTAATCTTAATTGTCAATAACACAGCTCTAAACAAAAAAAAAAAAAAAAAAACATTTTTTGGTGCCCTGGATATATCGCAAAATTACACCTAAACTTAGCTTGTTTTTAAATAATTGCATATCTACCATTTTTATAGTTATCGGCTAGTTGGTAATAAATATTTAGTTTTCAGGTCATGATTAGGGTTCTGCGTATCTTTTTCGGGCAAGCAAACGATATGTGATCCTTACTCTTACGCTCCTTGTCGATAATGTGAGAAAAATTATGTGGTAGACTCTGCTAAAATATACAGGAATAAAGTCTACAAAATGTTCTATTTTACGCAATAAAAATTTCGCTTTCATGTAATACATACCAGTGGAGTCTACCAATGGATGTGAATAAAAGAGTGAAACATCTACACCGAAGTCTCTCTCCCAAAATGAACTCAGTGATTCTTCAAACTTGATCCACTTAGGAAACATAAAACAATTTGTCAAAGCGTTGGACGTGAATGAATATTGTTTTGGTGTCATTTATAAAAAACAAAAAAATCCGAACTTACAATTGGAAACTTAATTGATGAAATATTTGATGGTCCTCAAATACGGCAATTGATGAAAGATACAGATTATATCAAGGTGAACACTGCTCCGGAAGCTTGGGAAAGGTTTGTGTTGATGGTGGAAATTTTTCTAATCAATCATTAAATACAAAATTATGAAAAAATTGTCCAAAACATGCTGACAAATAGGCAGATTTTAGCACTAAATCCATGTTAGACTCTCTCCGTAATAATCTAGATAAATTTTCGGATAATTTTGGAAATTATAGTAAGGAACAGGTTCAACACGGAATGTGAGGGAAGAAAGGTATCAAGGCTGATCGGATCGTCTAATGAAGGCATTTTACTGCTAGTTCTTAAAAAAAAATTTAAGGTAAAATCAAAATTAGTATTAAAATAATCCTACAAAATAAATATCTATTGTTGACTTGATCATAAAAATTAAGTCCATGTAAATTTTTTTTACGTGAACTGAGAAACTTATGGGTTGTATTTAGTATCGCGCCGGTTAATTTTGGCTCGCCGTACCTAAACGAGAGAACCAAATGGAAAATTTTAAACACGCATGTATGCTTAAATTATCGAACTTTATTTTAAAACATATTTTATAAAAATCGGTTCACAAATTTTTCCACAAATTCACTTTAAAAAATGCTATTTTTTGCAAATTTCTAAATATATGCTAGTGTATTTTCATCTGTTGTGCATKGTACCAAACCAATTATGGATACATTTTCACGCACATATATTACTTATGAATTATAAAAACCACTAGTAATGTTCTTAATGACTTTTGATTGTTAATTTCTTTGTAAATCTTTAAATAAAATACACATTTTTCTGCATTGAGTTCAATAATGCGAAAAACCAAAATGACTGCGTAATTCGAACTGTCAAATTACCGAGAAAGCACGAAYAAAAGGGAATAAATTAAACCCACTTAGCAATAAATGCTTGAAGAGAACGCGAAAAGGTGTTCAATGYTAAAATACTGTGGATGGCGTAGCCGGTGTTGGACCGGCCAGGGTTATTTTTTTAAAGCGCGGCCGAAGGCCGCCAGTACAGAAAGGAGTTCTACGCGAAAGAACTCTGAACACCCCGGTGTTGGAAATTGAAAAGGAATGAAATGCTAAAATACTGTGAGGAAATCCCGGTAAAGCATTATTTTACTAATTTAAGTATAAAACAAATTAAGGCTTTATATTTCTTAACGATTTCAATATACCATCTAATATGTGTGCTGGGWAGCATAACGGTACTTTTCATATGTGTACCCAWATTTAAAAATTTGAAGTTATGCAAAATACGTATTCCGTGTTATTCGGCGTGATTGAAATTAAAAATATTATAAAACAATGAGCGAAATTGCAAATGGTGAGTAATAATAAAAATAATAAGACATTTTAATATTGGAATATATTATTTTTTTCAGGAACGCGGTCTACACGGTTTGAGTGGAGCCTTATGCGTGTTGGCACCGAGCTGCACACACATGAACAAGGAGTCGTCATCAGTGTCCCTCAGGTATACTTTTTGATGTATTGCTTTGCGTGTCGTATGTCCCGCGAACAAATATTGCGCGAGGACTATACAAATGAAGGGAAAACTTTGTCATCTGCAACAACAACAGACTGGTATAGGTATTGCCGAGAGGCCGTGGTAATATACCAGTTGGACCACCAATATGAACAAGGAAAAATTGGTGGTCCGGGAAAAATTGTTCAGATTGACGAGAGCAAATTTGGGCGGCGGAAGTACAACAAAGGTAATACTATTTCCTTATACAATGAATTTAACTCTAATAAGTTTTTTTTTTACATTTTAGGCAGGCGCGTAGAGGGACACTGGGTTCTTGGGATGATCGAAGATGGTAGCGAGGACATACGCCTCGAAGTATGTCCTGACAATCTTCGAAYAGCRGACATTTTAATCCCATTGATCCAGAAGCACGTGGCTGAAGGAAGCATAGTCCGGACGGACTGCTGGCGGGCATATGATGCATTACCAAATTTTGGGTACGTCCACCAAAGAGTTTATCACAGCGACGACACCAACCCTTTTGTTTCCGAAGATGGTATTCACACGCAGCGGATTGAGTCGCAATGGCGCGTAGTSAAACGCTTCTTTTACAAAGACAACTACAATCACACCGCCAACTTCGCCGACGTCATCGTCGAATATACATATGTGCTTTTCAATATAATATAATAATATATATGCTTTTCAACCTTTAATAGATGCAATTAAATATTTATATACATTGCACTGAAACATTTTGGCTTTCTTTATTTTGATTTTTTGTCCATACAAAAATGTTGGCTGGGTTGCATTGCTTTCAGTTTGTAAGGAAAAATGAGCAAAAACACTGATTTTTGGTCATTTTCAAAGGCCTCCCTACAGGTCCATAGGGGCTCTAGTGGGTCGAGGGGGGGTTTATTAAAAAGTTCGATCCTTCCCCTTTCCAATAAGGGGTCGGGAGGGGGGTAGCCTCCCCTGTTTTTCTCCATAAACGATACTTAACCGGCTCGATACTAAACATTCCCCAAACTTATCCCCCAAACAATTTTGGAAATTTTTAATTTTAACTATGTTTTTGTTTAATTGAAAAATTTAGATACCGTTACTTAAACAAATGTATTGAAAGAGTAATGAGGACTCGTTTTTTGATCTAATATTTTATTAATTTTTATGATCAAGTAGACAATGGTGGGTTCACTTGCTCAATTTCATGAACTATGAACACAAATATACCCAAAAGCAATATTATACCTAGAGCAACAAAACCACCAATATAATTGATAAGAATTAACTTGTGTTTTAATTTTTATTAGCTTCAAAAGTTATAACATTACTTTTCTCAAAACTTTGACTATAATTATATATGAATATTGTAACCATTTAAAGATAAATAAATTTTCTTAACAAGTAATTGCATGCTCGAGTTCTCTGGAATAAAAAATTTGTAAAATTAGCAATAAAAGTTAATTTCAATGAACAGAAACTAATAAATTTCTTATTTACTGCAGTGCAAAATGAAAGATCCTAATAAAAAAAATCAATTCTGCGTGACATTTTCATGTGCTTACGAGAGTAAGCAGATTAAAATATTAAATGTCTAGATGTCATTATGTAAAAATATTAGAAACATTTTATAGACAGACATTAAACTTAAGTAATAGAAAATGCATTCCTAATTTCTAGGTGACCAGGCAATGTAGATATTTACACACTAGCAACGCCAGAGACCCTACGTCAACTAATTCCTCAGTTTTAAGATATCGATCTGAAAATTTGCATACTCTTTTTTTCTCTAAAAAGCTTTTTATCTGTCGATATCAGACTACTATAACATATAATGCCAAAGAAACTGGACCGTCAAAATCAAGTTCCTGTATGAAAACCTATTTCTTTGTGAAGGATATTTTAGCTTTGTTGCAATGAATGTGAATGCTGTGGCCTACGAACTAATGAAGTTGACTAACTGCACTTTACAATACCCCAATGATCCATATTTACTCACCATAAAAAATTATTTTCTGGAAAATTCGGGAGCGATCTATAGACAAAGTCAAAAAATTTTTCTATATTGCGTAAAAAAAAAAGCCTTAATTTGAGTAAAATTTCAGATATCTTCGCGGAGCTTCTTACACTTGCTTCGAATTTCAAGTGTTTGTATTTAAGCTTTCAACACTAATTACTTTATTCAATAATACTTAACACTTCAAAAACAAAAACAAAGAGAATTTTACTTATGCAAGCGTTTTAAAACACCGTGAGAACCGGCCACTTAGCTATTCTACATTCACACCCAAAGCTTTACGCTTCTCAAACCCAAACAAGCCGCTCCAAGTAGGCGTCAATTGAATAAGTATTCCAGCGTGTAGTTAAGTTATCCATTTCAGTAGACATTTCTCATTTGAGATTTTACTAAATATTGTTGACATTTTATATTAAGCACCAAATGAGCAAGCTCATTACCGGCCAGCAAGCACAACCAACCAAGCGATCGGGCGAGCGAGCAGCCAGCCAACCTTCACTGACGTTGCCGTTGCCGCCTTCGCCACTGCCGCCTGTGCTTCACCTTGCAACGGCGTATTTTGTGTAATTAACGGTCATTTAAGTTGCGTTATTTACCAATTATATTTGCACTTTATGAACTCATCAACGAAAACAAAAACCAAAACAACAACAATAATAATAATAACAAGGCATAGAAAAGTGCAATAAAAATGTGCAACGGGAACAAATAAGAATTGTCTGTTTGTGGGTACTTGCCACAAAGTGTTCACATCGCATTAACACATCAAACGTACGTACTTAAATATTACAACAACACATTGCGATGCTTAAACAGGCTCACACGCTTATTTACATGGGATAATGTGATTGACGGTGGTCCAAGGAAATGGACCCATTCAGGTGTAGAGCTTAGTTTGGAGCCAACGGTTTCAGGCAGAAGAACGTTTCTGCACTTCGAGCACGACGTTTGAGCCCGCTTAAAGCAATGCAATATTTCTTAGCTCCAAAGTGCGTGGAAGTATGGCTGCTGTTGTAGGTTCAGTTCGCAAGCACTGCAGACTCTTGCAGATGTGAAGACCCAACACACTTCTTCTCCAACTTTAGTTCTTAGTGGAAACGGTTAATCCTGTTAGGAAAACGGACCCCTAAGTGAATTGTCATCAACTTTATCTAACGTGAGGTTCAATAAACGTGCTGTTCGACGTGTGGGACGAAACAGAAACTGTGATGTTTTGGCAGAATGAACATACAAATTAATTCTGAGCTACTGGTTTAAATTGTTATCGTTCCAAGCGGGCACAGTATTGTCTCCACCTTCGGCTAGAAAGGCTCCTGACTAGGCCAACTAGGTTCCCATAACCGGGAACCAAAATTAAAGACAAGTTAAGTTGACTTACCAGTAAGCTTAAAGGCTTTCCACATTTTTTGACTACGCTGGAATTAATCTTTGGCGACCACAAGGCTAGCAATGCCGTCGGACCCTGTGTGTATATGATGATAGTTTTCTATATCCTTACGTAATTATTCAGTAGAGCTGCAAAGACGTTCTCTATGAGTATTACGTCTGCTTGGAAGATACCAACTAAGTTTCATAGACGGGTGAAGAAAAATATCAAGATCCTCGGAGTACACCGTCTCCCAACAGCACTATCCATTTTGTACCTATCTGTTAGATGTCGCATGACATCGAAGTATTAAAATTAAAATTCTGGTGGTGGCTCTACATTTGTCAAGTTGACCAAGAGACTTGCTTTATACAGGCGGTTTAAAATAATAGTGATACGTTCTTAGAGAGACAACGGGGTCTTGGAACAAATTTCTAAAACAGAAGCACCCACCTTATCACCCGTATACATACATATGTGGTATTCATAATCACAATGTTTCTTGCCGCCACTACAAATGCACTTCATTTTGCCCTTTGCTTTTGGTTTGTGCTCAAATTTTCAGCACATAACTAAATATGATTCGTTGCACTTTGCAACATTTTGATGCACCAAAGCATAAACAACATAATATCCATGTATGGGTTTCATTACTTCTGCAGCAAATTACCTACACACTTACATACCTTCTGACATTGCATCATCATATCGGCAACACTAAGATTTTGAGTTTACGAGTAAAATTTCGTACACTCATTTACGAATTGGTTGCGTCTTGCGACTTCATATTTTAGTGGCCTCAAGTTTTCGAATAATTCATTCGGGTTTTTTATAGTTTGTGCTCGTAAAATTTTTGTAAGCTCGGATAAAATACGAGGCAAGTTCGATAAGTGCTTGAGTCACCACCCGTTAGCGCCACTTCTCGCTGTCTTTTCACGCTGTTAAAGAGCAATTCGAGAGAGTTAGATGGGTCCTAATAAAAGTCGAAACCTTTCGCGATAAACATGTTCTGCAGGAGGGGAAGACTGTATTATCAGATGGAAAGATGAGGGTGTCACCGTTTTCTGAGATCCACAAGCTATGAATTATGTATAATGATGGCATCGCAAAAAAAGTGATCTTTAACAACGAAAATGCATCGGCTTGGGATGAAGAGGAAAAGGCAGATCAAACTGCTGCCCAAATTAGGCATTCTCCAAGCCTTGTTCCATGGTAGTTCTAACTTTTGGTTCCGAACTCGAAAAAGTCGATATCCGGGCGGGAATTGGAATCGATTAAAAAGTTTACCGCAGCTAGAGACGTTACTTTGAAAACGTACCAGAAAACTTATTTTTCAAGCAGGTTAAAAAAGTTAAAGCATCTCCTAGTGGATAGAGCTAAAAGAACACTGTATGGAGAAATAAATATAAGTTTTTTCCAACTTTTCTTCTCTTTGGTTCGCCAAGTACTTATCGGACAACCCTCATGGGACAAGTTTTGTTAAATAGCTTTCGATCTTTAGTCGGAGAGATCGGCAAACTCTTTACTTCAATACAATTTTAAAAAGTATCTGCGGGAAGTATGTACCGCTTTTTTCTTTATTCTTTGTGTTTTCCATTGTTGTAAAGCACATGCCTTTCTGTCCAGTTGTTTTGACAGTTCGATATCGTTGTATTGTTGTTGGCGTTGGCGCGTGCAATCCATCACTCTCTTCAATAACTTACACTTGCACAAAGCCGGTTGTTACAATGGACTGCGGCGACTCTGAGCCCTTTCTGTGTACGCAACTCCACCCCGTTTCATTGTTTGGCTTTTAACACTTGGTCTTAGCATCTGCTTGGTTTCTTCATTTGCTTTTTCCAACTGCCTCGTGTTGGTCCAATGCAAATACTTCAATCTTTCGAAAATTGTTGCTGAGCCATGCTTTTTTCCACAAACACTTTGTCGGTTTTGTTTCGGCGTACTCATCGCTGCTCATCTTTAAAGCATCTCTAATTTATTGTTTTTGTAAATTTGTTGACTAATGTAATTTTTTTGTAACAGTTTTTTGTTTTTGTTCAACACTATTTGTTTTATTTTCTTTGCTTTGTTTGGTTTCTCAGCGTGCGGTTTGCTTTGGCACTTGATGTCCGAACTTTCTTTAAGCCAACAAAGTGTGAAGTTCGGGGTTGCACTTGGTTTTTGGTAAATATTTGTCTAACATTCAATTAAAACTGTGAAATTGTAGTGGGTAAAAATTTTTTGCGGTTTTTTTAAAAGTTATATGTGTTCAAAGGCAAGGTACGGCATGGTCTTAACGATTTGAAAACGATGGTTCATCATTGTGATGAAGAAATTGAGCTCACAAAAGTCGATAGCATTAAAATTGAGTTCTAGGTGTATGAGATTTGATAAAAGGATGTTTCAACACCTTCGGTATATAGATATACATATATGTATACATTATACTTAAGGTCCTGCGCTTGCTCTCTGTGATGTTTTAATTGTAGTGACAAACATCGCCCCTTAGCAGGTTAATTCTATAATATTTTAACAACCCAGTACTTCCATCTAAAGAGTTTTCATCAAAAGCGTATGCATAATTTGTTACTCTGTAATTCTCTGTTCTCTCTAATACTCTGTTCAAAGCTTTGACAGTATTTCTCTGAACTTTCAATTGTAACCGTGGACCCTCTGAAGCATTGAATTGTAGGTCTAAGCAGGTTTATAGTATAAAGCGCATATTTTCTTTCTCTCCTTTCGAAAGAAGTAGATGTTGGCAAAACACAACATAAAATAGCTTCTATGGGATACATCCCTTTACCTTATGTATCAATAGAGACCAGCCAATGAAAAGCTTACTTCTCACAGAATGTCATCCAGCAGAATTCATAAAACCATTTTTAGATAAACCAGCCGGCGGAAGACCTGTGACGACGAATACCGACATCGAGTTAGACCGACATGTGGCACCTCGTGACATCGCCCAGAAGATGGGAGTGAGTCACCAAACCGTTTTAAACCATCTGCAGAAGGCTGGATTCACAAAAAAGCTTTTGCTGTGTGTTTGGTGGTATTGGAAGGGAATCATCCACTATGAGCTGCTCTCATATGACCAGACGCTTAATTCCACCATCTACTGCGAACAACTGGTCCGTTTTAAGCAGGCGATCAACCAGAAGCATCCAGAATCGGCCAACAAGAAGGGTGTAGCGTTCCACCAGGACAACGCCAGACCACACACTTCGTTGCTGATTCGTCAGAAGCTGCGAGGGCTCGGATGGGAGGCTTTATCGCATCCACCATACAGCCCGGCCATAGCGCCAAGTAATTACCCACTGTTTCTATCCATGGACAACGCCCTTGTTGGTTCGCGCATATTTCAACTAAATCCGATCAATGTAAGACTTTTTATAAAGCATTGAATAAAGAGCAAAAAAACAGAAAGGAGATCTTTTACAACCTTATATGTACTATAGACATAGTTTCGTACATTGTTATTGGGTTATGTAATATAAGAGGGTCATAAACCATAAATTTTTTTTGTCAATCAGTAGAATCTATTCGTGGAAAAACCATGCAAAAATAAAATTGTTTATAATTTTGAAATCTCTCTAAGGTAACTTTCTTCAGAAGCCGGAACATTATATATAGTAGAGACAATATTGCATTAAGTAGGATCAAAAGCTTCTCGTAGCCTTAATAGAAGAGACTATCTGTAGCTCTGAGATCACATTGCTATCAACATCACATTCAAAAAAGATTTTTAAAAATTTCTGAAACCAATATAGTCCCACTATATCTTCCACAGAGGCAACTCTACAAATAGTTGTATCTGTTCCACAGCTAGTTAATTATGTATCAGCTATAGCCCATCAATTGAATAAAATGCGACAATACAAATAAAAAAAAATGTTGATTTATTCCCAACACCATTTGCCAGCTGAGCGGTGCCATGAATCATTTGCCGATTCTATGTCAATAGCAGCAGCAATGACCCTACAAATGCAACAGCCACTGAGCAACAGCACACGAGGCAACGCGCTCCGAACAACGAACACCGGCGAATACAAACACTTTCGTAATTTCGCGACACAATTACCGCCGACGACAAACGACGAAATTTATAGCCAATTTGAAAAAATTCTCACAATGTCACAAAGCATATTGATGCAAAAAGAATATAACAAAAACCACAGATAGAAAAAACAGTTGTGAGCTAAACGCTGGCGGTAGCTACAACAGCTACAAAAAGGGCACAAGCACGCAGCACGAACGGCTTGCTTGTAATTGATGAGTTTTGGCCGGCACTTTAAACGAGTTCGGCTTGAAAACTCAGTGAATTACCGAATACATGATGTAGTTGCGGAACTTTGAGATTCGCAAAATAACTCATATCTCATTGTCTTTTTTTGATTACTTTCATAGTATTCGAGTATATATATTGAACAAGTTCCCTGAAGTACCTATATACTTGTTATGCGACAGCCTGTACACTAAATCTTAAGAATTGCTAAGGCCGCCCTTTGGAGTTTTAAATGAAAGAACTTAGCGTTATATATGTGGAGATTGGGTTGGGGGAAATAATATACATAAATGAAAGATTCGCATAATCTCAATCCACTAAT